CACCGAGTGGAGTTCCAAACGCATTAGGAGATGTTGGAGGTAGGAGGAGAGGTGTGCATCGAGCGGCTCTGAATCATGGCTGGGTGCGATCAGATGGTGAGGCTCAGCGGGGAAGAAGCCGACACCATATTGAGAGGCATCGCTTCGGGAGCGTTGGGCCGTTGTGTGCGGAAGATATCAGGTACCTGCTTGCCCAGCTGTGTGTTAGGAGTAGCTGGCGGCCTAGCTTCCATTTGTTGTTGCCTGGTTTTCCCCATGGTGGCAGCGGGGAGGCGAGTGGAGTGTGTTATGGGTTTCGGGTAGCAGGAGCTCAGTTAGTAAGCGGCCATCAGCCTCACGGTGCAAGCTGCGCCCCCTGGGTAAAGTGTTTCAGTGCATTGTTGGGGGGCATAGGAGAACATAATTGTGACTTTGGAGAGTTAAGTATTATTATTATTATAAAGGAGTTATATTGCGCCAACAGTTTGCACAGCGCTTTACAATATAAGACATTACAATCACAATACAATTCAAGACAAGATGGTAAGGAGGGCCCTGCCCGTGAGGGCTTACAATCTAGAGTGGAAGCTGATTGTGGACAGACGAGCAGATGAAGAAGGGACCTGGTCATGGACTGGAGAGTGAAGGGTAGGGATGAGCTTTGGCTTACACATGAATTTGACCTGAACCCAAATCATATGCATTTAGGGGAAATTGCAAACTAATGCTGCCACTCATTGCTATAGCAACCAATAATGCACTTTCTGGCCTCTGAACTGAGGTCAGGTGGCTTAGAAAGGCAAATAATGGAGGATTTCTTCAGTTCCAGACCTTTCCCATCTCAGGGTTGCTAGCAGGATTTTGTCAGTGTGTGTTGGAGACACCTGGAATAGATAGAGAAGGCTGACTGAGTGATTGCAATGTGAGATAGCTGCTGCTATACTATAAAATCCTGCTGAAAAGTGCTATATACAGTGGTGCTATACAAGGGTAGTGTGTGTTGGAGACTTGGAGTAAACAGGGAGAGCTTATATATTTTTGCAGGGAGAGATAGTCATTTCTATACTATACAGTGCTAAACCCAGTGCTGTATTGCACGGCATTATAGTGAATTGAAGTGCAGTGGGCTACATAGTGAGCACCCCATGTTAACAGAGCACAGACCCAACAGTGCTTTCCAGGACTACTTTTTTAGTGTGATTCCCATTTTCATATGACATGTTTTACTTTCAGTAATGTTATAAAAAGGATTGGGGTTTCTTATTTTGAAATCAGCAGTTTGTTCCTAAAGCTGGCCAAACACGATTCTCATTGCTGCCAAGAACCCTCTTTCGATTCTCGCTCAAATAGCCCATTATTCACAGACCAATGTCACTCCGATAATCGTTTGTTAGCAATACTAATTCACCAAATTTTGTTGATCAAAAGAACGGATTGTTGTTTGCGCATGTGCAGCGTTCATGTCACAATTTTTTTTTCTCCTTTCAAAAATGCCACCAATCCATCGATTTTTGTACGATTCTAAAAAAAAGTTTTACAACCTCACCCTTCAAGAAAATTCAGCCAGGAGTACAGTAAAAAATAAAAAAAATCCTTGGGTTTCCATAAACCAATCAATTATCGTTCGAAAGACCATTTGTGGAAGATTTCCAAACGATAATCGATAGGTGTATAGGCACCTTTACACAGGCAAAGCTGCCCTTTGTTTGCAGCACATCACCGCATACTTGTGCAGAACAGTTTAGTGCAACAAAGCACCACATCCTCAATTCACCCATTGCCATAGTTGCTAGTAAAGTTAGGTAATCAAGTTAGGCAATCTCCTGTATTTGTAATGCCAGGCAGGCCTAAAGGGAGAAGCAGAGGTTCTGCACGTGCAGTTACTAGGGGGTGAACAGGATCTGCAGCTGAAAATAGTATTCACCCCATGGACTATCAAGTGTCAAGGCTGGACTGGACCACTGTCCAGAACCTGCACAGCATGCTTTCATTTTTATTTCACAAATAAAACCTGCCTGGTTCTTTCTCTGATACTGTGGCCTACTTATGCTGCTTACTTAGTGTGCATCAAGTCTGTATAATTTTTCTGGCTTTTCTGTGAAATAATATTCAAATTTTGATTTCTAGATTAAAACGTGTCTGGTCTCTCTCTCTCAAACTGAAACACACTAAAGCCACTTATATAGTGTGCATCCATTCTGTACAATATTTCTGGCTTTTTCATTTTGATCTATTTATTAGAAACCGGACAGGTCTTTTCCTCTTAACTTGCGGCCTACTAAAGTCGCTTGCATAGGGTGCAGCCACACTTTTTCTGTGAAATAATACACTCTAATTTTTATTTATTGATGCAACCTGCCTGGGCTTCCTTCTTAAATTGCCACCCAATAAAGCTGCCTAAATACTGTGCACCTCATCTGTACAATATGTCTGGCTATTTTCTCTGGATACATACTACTTCTTATTTGATGGTTTTAATGACCTTTTCATTGATCTGATTTACAACTGTCAAATGTGTTCTTTCTCTGTCAAGCAGAGAAGAATGTTTAGTGTTTTAGCTCAGGGAAAACCGCATTGTGGGACCGAGAACAATGATTATAAAAAAGAAGGGTGTCTACCAGAATATGGGCAATATTAAATGAAGGATGTGTGTACTGAGGACTAGCGTTAAAAAACTCTAGAAGGTGATTGGATCTCATGTGCTACCAGCTACATTCATTCCTTTTAGCAAAGTCCTCCAGCAATTAAAGTGAAAATGAAAGTTTCTCCTTTATACCACACAGGGGTAAGGATTGTCTCTCATACATGGTATAATCAGCTGGTGAGGGATGAGAATCATTGCATACTGTGAGCAGATGGACAAGACTGAAAATCATCATGTAATGTAAGCACAGTTGCTCCAGGCTGATCACTAAGATTGGGGCTCTTTTTTGTGCATTGAGCAATCACAAAAAACAGTGTCAGAATCCCTAGCAAAAAGGAACCACAGGTAAAAGTGAATGTCCGATTACATTCAAACAGCTGCAGCCACGGTCAACCTCTAATTTGCTTGGCGGCTGAGTGGCAGCAGCTATTCCCACACACCTGTGATTCCAGCCGCAAGAATTCTCGGATTCTTCCCGCTAAAAGTTGCACTGTAGTTCCAATTGCAAGTGTGAATGGAGCTTTCCTTCTGCAGGGAGAGCTTTGGACAATTGTATTTTCCTGACAGGGCCACTTTACACTGAGAGTTTATGACAATTTGTGATTTTTTAGTAAGGATGTCCATCTGTTAAGTTTAAGGAGTATGGTGTACTTGTTTGCCTGAGCATCCTGTTTTGTCTATGGTCAGCTTATGACCTTTAAAAAAAAAAAGAAGATATGCAAATATAGAAACTAGCCTATGTTTAGCTCAGATAATAAAGATCAATCTACACTGTTTTCTTATCCAGGTTATTAGCCTCTTGACCAGAAATGGCGATTATTGGTTGCATATTTGCTTTAAAATGCTCTGCAATGACCTGTATTGTGATTGTTCGCTCGATTAAAACAACACTTAAATGTCAATTCAGAAAGCTATAAAGGAGAACTGTACTGTTGTACAGATGTTCTATAATAAGTTCCCCCCACACCCCTGAGTACCCTAATACCTCCACCCTAAGGAGTCGTTTGGAGTACGGCTTTCCCATTGGAATGAATGGGACCTTTGTGCAGTACAAAGCAAATTTAAGAGAGAGGATCTGCACAGTGAAGGTGGCTCGATTGGGGCTGAAGGTAAGTATTTGAAGGTAAGTACCTTCAAGTATTTGAAGGTACTTCCACCCTAAGCAGTCGTTTGGAGTACGGCATTCCCATTGGAATGAATGGGACCTTTGTGCAGTACAAAGCAATTTTAAGAGAGAGGATCTGCACAGTGAAGATGGCTGGATTGGGGCTGAAGGTAAGTATTTGACACAGTGGGCAGCACTCAGGGGGCCGGGGGAAATTTATTAATGGAAAGCTGTACTTTCCTGTACCTTTGGTACAATTGTCCTTTCATTCCCCAAACCTCCCGAGTACTTCCCACATGGACAAATACCTAACTTCAATCTTCACTGTGTGGCCTTGCCCAGTTCTGCACAGCCTAGTACACATGCGTGCCACATACCTATTCACTCCTATTGGTAGGCAGTTAACCACAGGAATGAATGGGGCTATGGAGTGCATGCACAATGAGACCCAGCCAGGATGCTTTTGCTGGAAAGTCTGTGCAGCGTTGGTCAGGGTGCACTGCAAAGATTGAAGACAAAGGTAATTGTTCAGGTTGGTAGCACTGGGGGGATTGATTATAGGACAATAGTACCACAGGTACGGTCTTTCTAGATTAATACTAGGGGTGTGTGCAAACTTGGTGTGAACTGAGTTTGTGGGAGCTTGTGCAAACCATCCTGGTCCAATCCGCTAAGCAGGGGCATTACCTGTCCATTTGTTCCCTTTAGCTGCAGGGCGGAGAATGCCCTGGCTGCAGCTGATTTTGGTTGGGGGCAATGATGTGTCAGTTTTGCATGGACTTGGGCAAACGTGGTTTGCTGTGTGTCCTATCCAATGCCACACATATGTCACTGACAATTTTGCGCAGGTAATCTTCGTTTGCATCAAACTTGTGTACATGCCTATTTAACATTAGGATAAAGATGTCTAGCCATGTGACTAAAGTTTACATGCGATTACATTCCTGGTGTGTTAGCTGTGTGAACAAGGCCTATAGTGTGAAGGTAAAATGATATTATTGGTTCCAGGAATTACACATGTATTTTACACTCCCATACATGTGAAGATTAACCTTTGCGAAAACAAAGCAAATGCACTGCTTTGTACACTTATTTATGTGAATCAATTTAGATGCGCTATTAACACATTTCAGGATTGTATTTAAAAAAAAAAAAAACCCTGTGCACCCCTAGGATGTTAACTTGGTTTCTTCCTCATCGTTCCCCTTTAGGTGGCGGTCTGTACTAAGTTACGGAGGGAGGTGGCATGAAGGCCCACCCCTCCCCTGCATCTGGCTGTGTAGCTGTACCGTGTGGTGGGACCGTATCGCGGGGTTGGAGTATACATATTCGTGACTCGTGAGAGCAGGCTGTCAGGAACCATGTTGTCCCGACTATTGCGACCTGCCCGTGGCTTTCCGAGAGTTTTGCTCGGTCTGGGCCTGGCAATAGCAGCGGCGAGAGTTTCGGAGAGCCCCGGGGATGAGGACGGGGAGAGGAAAAGGAAAAGCCGTGCGGCCTACAACACGGCTAAAGATAAGAGCCGCGAGTTACTTAGGAGGGTGAAGGTAAATGTGGGAGGCCTGCTACACACACACACACACACACACACACACGTGCGTAGAACTACAACTCCCAGCATGCTTTGCTGTGTGGCTGTGACACCTAAGCGCTGCAGCTGTGGGCAGAGTTATTGAAGCTGGCTTGCTGACACGTTCAGACTTGGCAACAAAATCAGACCTTTTTAATGGTCTGATTGTGATCTGTCTGGGTAGATCATTTCAGTGTTGGAAGATAGAGACATTTATTTATATTGATATTAAGACCCTCTTCGCAAAGGAGAAATGCGCATGTTCCCACAACGCACAAAAACTTGTCTTTTTTTTTTTTTTTTCAGGCGTGCTGCAGCGATATTAATATTTAATGGAACCCAAAGCATGCCTGCCAACACACTTTGGCAGGAATTCCCTACTTGTGGCACAAAAGTAGGGAATTCACTATGACTGGAGGAGCTGTAGATGGCAACCAATCCGCTTCTGTCTTTCATTTTCAAAGCTTAAAAGAGAACTATGGGGTAAGTGTTTTCCCCCATATACTAACCTCCTCCCGTAACCCAAAGCTCAGTATATCGCGGGCATTACTGAGAGCGCCGCAGCAGGGACGCATCCCGGCAATACTGTTGAGATCCACCCAGCTGCGTGAGTGACAGCTGGCTCTGCCTATCTAGAGGCAGATCCAGCTGTACCCACCCCCTCCCATGTCCGTTCCTCCACTCAGTGCTGGAGGAGCTGAGGGGGGAATCCCCGCGGGGAGCCGTGACTGACAGTCACTGCTCTCTCCAGGAAAGTGAGGGATTGGCTGCATGTTTCTGCTCACTTCTTGATCTATAGAGCCGACCTGTGACAGCTTCTGTGTCACAGGTCAGCTCTAACTATGAGTGTAAATCACTCACGTCATAGTTCTCCTTTAACTGGAGAAGCTGATTGGTTACTATGGGCAACTGCTCCAGTTTTAGTAAGATCTCCCCATGTATTTGGTGCAGCTTGATTTTAAAAAAAGGGTGCATGCGCTTGTTCCCATTGAAGTGTATAGGCTGCCCAAATGCACTGCAGCTGAACGCGCTTAAAATGTGCACTGTACATGTGTGTAGACTAGGGCTTATAGCCATACATTGGTACAAGATGCAATGGAGGGAAGGGGGGGGCTTTACTAAAACTAGATTTGGTAGAATCTGGAGCAGTTGACTATTATAACCAATCAGCTTCTGTCTTCAGTTTGTTAGGTTAAGCTTTGAAAAATAAAAGCTAGAAAATGATTGGTCACCATGGACAACTGCTCTGGATTTTGTTTGCTTCAGTCTTAGGCTGGGTTCACACCTAGCCGTATCGAATATGCGCGTTTGTACCGTGATTCGCGGTTAAACAAACGCGTGACAAACGCGCGTTTCCGAGGGCTACCTGACTGTATCCCAATGAATACGCGCGGCAAATACGCCCCAAAGAAGCTCCTGTACTTCTTTGGGCGTAGGGCGTTTTGCAGCGCGTTCCTACGCGTTGTAAAACGCCCAGGTGGGAACAATGCCCATAGGCAATCATTGGTTTTCACATGTTGAGCGTTTTACAGAGCGTAGGAACGCGCTCCAAATGCCCAGGTGTGAACCAGGCCTTAGTAGATTTCCCTCAATAAAACTGGTCATGCACTGTTCTATTTTTTTTTCTTGTTCAACCCTGGAGGTTTCATAAATGAAAAAAAAATATAACAGATTCCTTCATCAACATTTAGGAGCATTGATCGAGGAATCTCTCACTGTCTTCATTGTATTCTGACAGCGTCCGCCGGCTGCTGTCAGAATACCAGAACAGACTCTGCAGTTGATTGGCTGCTGGCTCTGTTCATTCAACGATTTTCGAGGGATATGCAAATGTATGCCAAATTATCAAGAACCAGCCGAAATTCGTACAGTGTATGGCCACATTAAAGTGACACTAAACTCAGGATTTGAATCTTAAAATGTTTTCAAACACCTCCACTATTAACAGAAATGTATCTTCTTTGTGTATCACTCAGATGTAGATCCTCAAATCATCTCTGAATTGGTGCTGACACTGTCCTTCCTTCTGGAGGGGGGCTAATTTGTGTTGTAAAGTAGTCACCAAGCTTGCTCCCATGATGGACTACAATCTCATGTTTAGATTACTAATTTGTATTGAGATTGTAGTCCATCACAGGAGTGAGCTGCGAGCGATGACTACTTTACAACACACACAGGGACCATGGGGAACAAAAGTGCATTAAATGCATTCTTCTCCACAGTATTTACTGGGGAAAGCGACGCGTTTAATGAACACAACAAGAATCTGGGTAGCACTGGGAGGAAAATACCACTGTGGTTGACAAAAGCTAGGGTTTGTTGCGGACTAGAAATACTTAATGTGAATAAATCCCCAGTACCAGATAACTTGCACCCGCGGGTACTTAAAGAGCTAAGTATGATAATAGCGAGGCCATTGTTCCTAATCTTTAAGGAGTCCATACTGACTGGGGGAGATACCAGCTGGCTAGCGTAAAGCAACTGTACTAATATTTAAAAAAGGTTTGAGAAGCGTACCTGGGAATTATAGACCGGTCAGCTCAACATCCATAGTATGCATGTTATTTGAGGTTATGATAAGAGACTGTATTCCTGAATATGCTGATGGGCATGATATTTTAAGTGACAACCAACATGGCTTCAGGAAAGACTGTTCATGTCAAACCAACCATTTAGCTTTCTATGAGGAGGTGAGTGGCAACCTAGACAGAGGAAACTCAGTGGACGCAGTGTACTTTGATTTTGCAAAACCATTTGACACGGTACCTCATTAACGTATAATTGACAAGCTTCAATCTTTGGGCATTGATGAAATGGTGTGCGCTTGGATAGAGATCTTGCTAAGTGAACGTGTCCAGAGAGTATCAATGCATGGCTCATTTTCCAAGTGGTCCTCGGTTGACAGTTGCGTGCCACAAAGTTCTGTCTTGGGGCCATTGCTGTTCAACCTGTTTATTAATGATATTGGGACTGCTCTTAATAGCAATATTACAATTCTTGCTGACGATACCAACATTTCTAGGGTAGTAAAGTCAACAGAAGACATAGAAATATTACAGAAGGACCTGGATAAAATAGGGGGTGGGCATCTACAAGGCAGATGTTTAATATTGAGATGTGTAAGGTTTTGCATTTTGGAGTTAAAAATATGAAAGTGAGCTACTCAATAATGGGCATCCCACCGGGGGAATCAGAGGCGGAAAAAGATTTTGGAGTCCCAGTGGACTGTCGCCTTAGTAACAGCATGCAAAGCCAGGCAACAACCAATAAGGCGAGCAGAGTACTATCATGTATAAAAAAGGGAATGTACTGTAAAGACTAGGAATGCACCGACACTGATTGTTCAGTATGTAGTGCGAATACCGATATTTGTTTTCGTTACCTGCCAATACCGATAACGGAAGTCCCATCAAGGAAGCCGGGGGGCTTGTAATGAGTCACCGCCCAGCTTCCTGATTAGCCAGGCAGCATGTAATGACTCGCGGCCTGGCTTCCAGATTAGCCGGGAAACCGTCTCCATGCTCCCTCGTCAACCGGTGACAAGGAATCATGGGGTCGGCTCTCTGGCCAATTAGGAAGTCGGGTAATGACTCACTGCTCGGCTTCCCCGCTAATCAGGAAGCTCAGCGGCGAGTCATTACAAGCCCCCCGGTTTCCTGATTAGCCAGGAAGCTGTCTTCATGCTCCCTCATCACCAGGTGACGAGGAAGCATGGAGCCAGCTTTCTGGCCAATCAGGGGGGCGGGTAATGACTCGCTGCCCGGCTTCCTGATCGGCCAGCTTCCCGACCAATCAGGAAGCTGGGGGGCAAGTCATTACCCTCCCCGTGGCTTACAATCAGGAAGCCGGGTGGGGTGTAATGGCTCACCCTCTGGCTTCCTGGTACCAGAAGTTCCAGTATCGGGATGAGTATGGGGAGCATTTACTTGCCCAAATTCTCGGTTTCGGTGCATCCCTAGTATAGACAAATCCATCATTCTGCCCGGGTACAAAACACTGGTGTCTTGAGTATGCGTTCTAGTTTTGGTCAGCGATCCAGAGAAAGGATGTCCTTGAGCTGGAGAGAGTCCAGAGAAGGGTGACAAAGCTAATAAAGTGGTCAGAGGACCTAAACTATAAGGAAAGACTTTAAGCGTTAAACTTGATCCCACTTGAAAAGAGGAGACTGAGAGGGGACATGATACAGTAATACCTTGGTTTACGAGCATAATTCGTTCCGGCAGCATGCTTGTAATCCAAAGCGCTTGTATATCAAAGCGAACTTCCCCATAGGAAATAATGGAAATTCAGATGATTCGTTCCACAACCCAAAAATATTCATATAAAAATGATTACAATACTGTACTGTCATATAATACTGTACAAAATATAAAGAAAAATAAACCGATTACCGGTACCTTCGTGGCTGGTGTGAGGGGGACAGGAGAGAGGAGGATTATTGTGTAGGACGACTTTCACTATCACTAACGGAATCACTGCCTTCTCTTGACTCAATGGAATCGTTTTCATTTCATGAAACCTTAACAGGGAATCTATCCAATGTGACATTGCATTGTCGTTAAACAGACTCATCGCTTGCACTGCTACAGCCTTATTCGGTGGTGCTTTTCTACAAAATTTTGCTCTTATTGCAAGACATTGCTTGTATATCAAGGCAAACTTTTTCAGAAATGTTTGCTTGTCTTGCAAAACACTCTCAAACCAAGTTACTTGTAAACCAAGGTATTACTGTATTATTGTACAAAATGTTTAATGGTGATGGGATAGTCAGTAATAAACTGTTTACTGTCCGTTCAGTCCAGAATACACGAGACCGCCACCTGAAACTGGCAGAGAAAAGGTTTCATGTTAAATCCCAAAGGAGATTCTTTACTGTGAGAGCTGCAAAATTGTGGAACTCCCTTCCACAGACAGTGGTATCAGCCTAGAGTATGGAATCATTCCAGAACTATCTAGAAGATAGTTTTCTCAGCGCAC